TTCCCTATCTAATCAACAGCAGCTACACTTTCCCTCCTCTCACTAAGCACGCAGCTTGAGAATGAATGTAAAATGGATGCCTTCCAGTAGGTGGGAGGGTCTGCTAGGGAGGGTGTGCTGCTAATTGGCTGGAATGTGTCTGCTGACTGTGAGGTACAGGGTCAAAGTTTACTCAATGATGACGAATAGGGGGCGGATCGAACCGCGCTTGCGTTCGCCGGGAACTGTTCGCCGGCGAACCGTTCGGTGCGTCACTACCCAGGAATGAGAATTACCCCATGATGGCATACCATTTGCAAAAGTAGACAAACCAAGGTATTGCAAATGGGGTATGCCCAGTCTTTTTTTGTCTGTAAGAACAATCAGGATGTGGAATTCCATGCCTGAGGAAGTGGTTTTATCAGAGTCCATACAGATGTTCAAACGGCTACTAGATGCATACTTGCAAGAACAGAATATTCAAGGATATAATCTTTCAATGTAGGGTAATAACTGCTTGATCCAAGGATAAATCTGACTGCCATTCTGGGGTCAAGAAGGAATTTTTTTCCTAGCTTGTTGCAAAATTGTGCTTCAAACTGGGGTTTTTTTGCCTTCTTTTGGATCAACAGCAAAAAACAAATGTGAGGTAGGCTGAACTTGATGGACGCTAGTCTCTTTTCAGCTATGTAACTATGTAATTAGCCACTTAGACACTGGCCAAATTAGCGTTCAATTTAGTTTTTTTGCATTCTTCACACCCAAACCAATATGAACGCTAAAATTGCATTGTGTTTATCTGAAAAATGTAATGTGCTATATTTGACCCTGTAACTTTGCAAAACACCATAAAACCTGTACATTAGGGGTACTGTTTTACTCGTGAGACATCCCTGAATACAAATATGTGTACTTTATTGCAATAATAGCTAACAGTATTGTGACATTAACAGTTAAAATGCCATGCAGAACTGAAAAAAATCTTAATATCTCAATTTTTTTCATATTTTATTCATATTAACTTATGTTTAACATACAAATATTTGATGTGACATGAAAGCCCTGTTTCACCTGAACAGAATGATATATGATAAGTGCGGGTGCAAATATTATGAAAGGGGTGAATTACGCCTGAACAGACATATTGCGCAAATTCAATGTTCTGTTTACGTTTTGTTTTGATCACAACTTGTACAACTGCCTCAGTCCTTAAGAGGTTAATGTCAATAAAGCATGTACCTGATCTGAACTCTCTAATCTTATATCCCTCTTTGAAGGTGACCATTGTTGTTCTTGGCAACAAGTGTGACTTGCAGGAGGAACGGCGAGTGGATCATGAATCTGCCCAGCAGTGGGCCAAAAGTGAAAAAGTGAAACTGTGGGAGGTGTCTGTGAGTGAGAGACGTACACTTATTGAACCTTTTATATTTCTGGCTAGCAAAATGACACAACCACAGAACAAATCTGCATTTCCGCTCAGCAGGAGAAACAAAGGAGGTGGTTCTTTGGACAATTAATTTCCAGTATTCTTTTCTATAGAGGTGAATGCTATGGTCTGTGCCATCATCCCAGCCTCGAGTGTCCACACTTCACATACCTGCATTTGACCGTACTTGAAACAGGTGGATATCATCAACACCTTTAAAAAAACACTATAGACACCCAGACCACTTCAGCTCAATGACGTGGTCTGGGTGCCAGGTCCCCCTAGTTTTGATCCTGCAGCTGAAAACATAGCAGTTTCAGAGAAACTGCTATGTTTACATTGAGGGTCAATCCAGCCTCTAGTGGCTGTCTCCCTGACAGCCACTAGAGGCTGCTTCCGCGATCCTCATTGCAAAAATCGCATTGAACTCACGCTGGACGTCAATAGGAAAGCATTGAGTGATGCTTTCCTATGGGCGGTTTGAATGCACGCACAGCTCTGGCGGCGGATGCGCATTCAAAGCTGACATAGGCAGGGGGAGGAGAGGTCACCAGCGCCAAGGGAGCCTGGCGCTGGATTAAGGTAAGTGGCTGAAGGGGAGGACCTAATAACCCTATAGTGCAAGGAGTCACACATAACATGGCAACACTACATTCATCCAAACGGTTTCATTTTTCTCTTTCTCTGTGACTTGTCTAAGTGAATATTTCCTTGTGAATATATATTACATTTTTTTAGAATTGTATGTTCCTCTTATTTGATAGGTCATGGAAAGTTTTTATATAATCATTGTCTTTATGATGTTCCCTGAAATGTTTTATGTGTCATGAATAATACATGAAGGGCCATGATTTACCAACTTAATCCTGAAATACTTTACTGAGATGCAAGTTACCTTTCATATTGCTGCTACTCTTATATAAGTGTAGTTAAATACCTACATTCATTGTGCATGAATATGTTTTGTTTTGTTTTCCAGTGACAGTAGAACAATATATTTGAAGTATTTCTGCATAATTAAATCAATTTATGACCTTACACTACCCCCTTGTGGACTGCTGTTGATTTATCTGATAATGTACCTTAGCTGCAAGATTTTATTTACTAAATTGATGTCTCTATTGCTACTAACAACATAACAAGACGAAAAGAACACTCAGTACATATTTTTTAACAAGTCATTTAATTTAAACACCGTAAAAACAAGGTTGTCATGGATAAATCTTATCCTTTTTAAAACCCCAAGACCCTGCTTTATACTATTTTAACTGTATTTGAAATTACTCATTACATTTAAATTAATTGTTCTGTATCAAAACCAATTGGAACATTTTGAGTTGAGAATTCATCCAAATCAGCTTTTGTGGCCTAAGTTTTGCAGTTCAGATGTTAAATCAGTTTATTTATTTTTTTTGTTTTATTTATTTATTTATTAAAAAGCCCTTTTGATTTGCTAGGTAGAAATAGATTTAATCATTCTTTGTCCTTTTCGGTCATTATACTTTTTTTCAAGTATTGACAATTTATGTAAGGATACATAACTATATGAATTGCAAACTAAATATATGATTAATTAGCACATATGGTACCAACAGTACACCAGTTGAAAAAGAAACAAAATGCAACCAAACACCACTTTAGCTGTTTAAAAAAAATTGTATTCTTTAATTTGAAGGGCAATGAAAGATACACAGAGTGACAGTGACATATGGTTCAGTTGCATTACAACTAAAAACAGGCTTACAGTTAAAGGAATACTATAGGGTCAGGAACACAAACATGTATTCCTATACTATAGGGTCTTTAGTGTTAAAACCACCATCTACCCCCCTGGGCCTCTCATGCCTCCCTAAATATAGCAAAATCTTACTTGTATTCAAGCCTGAAGCTATAGCTCTGCATGCTGTTTGCCTCTGAAAAACAATCTGTCTGCTGACATCATCAGAAGTGGTAGCCTGATCCAATCACAATGCTTCCCCATAGGATTGGCTGAGGCTGACAAATAGGCAGATCAGGGGCAGAGCCAGCACTATTCAAACAGCCCTGGCCAATCAGCATCTCCTCATAGAGATGAATTGAATCAATGAAACTCTATGAAGAAAGTTCAGTGTCTGCATGCAGAAGGTGGAGACACTGACTGTTTGGATGCGTTTTAGGCAGCCATGACCCAGGAAGGAGCTCGAACAGCCATCTAAGGAGTGGCCTGTGAAGTTATCACTGAAAAGACAGTGTTTACAGCAAAAGGCCTCAAGGTAATGATTCTACTCTCCAGAACAAATTCAATAAGCTGTAGTTGTTCTGGTGACTATAGTGTCCCTTTATAGCACAAAATGTCAATAGGAATTGCACATTTAAAAATTTTTTTTTTTATTGTAGAACAAGTTGCAGTAATGCCACGTCAGCAAGGACAAGGGTTGACCTAGGTTTAAACAGAGACATGTTAAGGAATTGCAATATTTTAAAGTAAACAAGTCTAGGACTGTATTCAATCAGATGAGTACATTTAGCCACGGTGAGTGAGGCATAAGTAGGCATCAATCTATCAGTTAGAATAATAATACACACATGCTTGTAATGCCACGTCAGCAAGGACAAGGGTTGACCTAGGTTTAAACAGAGACATGTTAAGGAATTGCAATATTTTAAAGTAAACAAGTCTAGGACTGTATTCAATCAGATGAGTACATTTAGCCACGGTGAGTGAGGCATAAGTAGGCATCAATTTATCAGTTAGAATAATTGATCAGAGCTCCACTAGCCTATATGTGTGCCACTAAAGTGTTAGACAGCTGTAGACTACTGCACTAAGGAACATTAAACAGAATAAACTGAGGTAAGGAACGTGGTAAAACAACAATTGAGCAAGTCACATTCCTCTTATTACTAGCCAGGCAAAGTACATCAACACAAGATTTTAGAGGTATGCATAGAACGAATACTGAACCTGCATCAGCCATCCCTGTAATGGCTAGTAATAGAGCATTTCTGCGAGAGTCCACAAAAGAGTTCGCCTTGCCGCACCAGAGTAGAGTTTTCCTCCAGTGCCACGCCTAAATGAGGACCAGCATCCGAGATCCGCAAATCTGGTGTCACTTGGGTATCAAACCTTTTCCCCGATGGGTTCAGTGGGAAGTTGCAGATAGTGAGTACTGTTGTCGACAGCAGATCTTCGTCTTTTGTGGTCGATGCATTGAGGCAAAGCCTCTCGAGGCTCTAAGCCCAGGAGGGCAGAAAACAGGATGGGTAAGCGCTGTTGGAGCAGATTTGCCCTTAGGGAATTCCCTCTTTTCCAGTGCGGTTCTGCTTCCCCGGTCTGCTCTCGTGCTAGACTCAGAGTCTCTAAGACTTTCACTCAGCTTTTGCCAGAAGGTCTGGAGGATTTCATCCAGGCAATGTAAAGTATGAGGTAGTTGAGATGTACGAGCAAGGCGCATCCGCCATCTTTGGTAAGCTGAGTTGTTGAAACACGGCTGGAGTACGGCTTCGAGATCAAGAGGTAAGTGCAACTGATTTAGCTTGAATAACTTCAGTGGGCACTGGAATATGGAGGATATTCCGGTGCCTACTGAAGTTATTCAAGCTAAATCAAGTTATTCAAGCTGGTCCAGAGTGTGGGGAGGGTAGGTGTGCCGCAGGACTTTACTGCAGATTGCGCCTCACCCGAACTCTGTGCTCAGCAGGCAGGCATGTTTTTGGGTTACCGGGAAGTTTAAGCCGCAAGAAATGGCTCCAATCATTCGTCTGGGATTCCCCAACGGAAGTGGTGTACTGTGGTAGGTACAAAAGCTTGTTGGCCCGGGGTAGTACCCCTAAAATGGCAAGAGAAAAAGGTGCTTATGCACCACACGTCTGATCTGTTGAAAGGTCAGGCTCTGTACCCTCACACTTGAGGTGGGGTTTTTTTTCCCTATATGAAATTCAAATGGCTTTTATGATGATTTAGTCAGGCCAATTCCAGTTTATTCCTTTAATGTTTTTCGTTCCAAAATGAAATGGTTTAGTATTTAAATAAGTTTTTTACTTTTTCTGCATTTTTCATGTGACTGTTGTTTGAAGAATTGTACTAGGAAATTATTTACATAATCTCTTCCTTTGTTCCAGGATTTGTAAGGCTAAGATTGTTTGCAAGGAGAAGTCGCAAGACCTGTGTTCGTTTAGTTCTTCCCTTAGATTCTTAAAACAGGTAGTATGAGGCAGTGGGGCCAGTCAATAGCAGGTAGTTGATTGCTTGAGCCAGTCAATAGCTCCCCATTCACAAAATGACTTAAGAAACCGTTTTTATAAATGGGAAACTAATGACTGGCTTAGATCATAACCTAACGCTCTGAGCCAATCAGCTGCACCCATGTCTCAGGCTTCCTTAAACCATTTGTGAACTGTTTAATCCATAAAGGTAAGCTGATGCCAGGTTCATCCCTGTAAAAAACACAAAGCTTAGAGTTTGCATTATATTAATATGTTCAAAATGATTGTAAATGTTTGCCTAATTTACTACATATATGTGTTCTGCTTATTGTGTAAAGGAGCATTTTAGACTTTTCTTTGATATGCGACAGTATTATACATAAAACTAATGTTCTGTACAATAATTTACATCCCTTCTGTATTTTTGTATCAAAGGTTGAGTAAGTTGAATAATGCCTTATTTGCTTCTCCCCTAAGCAGAAAGTTAAATCCAGTATGAGCATAGTGCTTTAAACAAAGGAAAGGTTGAATAGTTCTGTGACAGACCATCTGGTCACCTAAGCTGGGTTCATGTCTTCCCATCCGCCACCCCTCTCAATAAAGACTATTTTCACTAACCCTCCAGCTAGTGCCTCCCAGCCCAGCACCCCTTCTAGTGGCCCAGGAAGCTCCATTCACCAGCCAGGGGGCCGCTGAGGCTGCGCCTGACTGGGAGCAACCCTAAGACCTCCTGGAACTCTAAGACGGATTGCAGAGTCGCTACGGTGCGCTAAAACTTTAACTAGAGCGATCTCGATCCCAGAACCAGCAATCCAGAGGGTAAATAAAGGGGTGGCGAGGCATCGAATGATACCAAGGACTTGGGGAATCTCCATGTACCCACAAAAAGCGTTTTTTTATGTGACTGGGATCTCTATCCACCACTCTGGAACTCTGCGCCAGATCAGAGGCTAGCCACATCCTGCTGAACTTTGGATTTCCATCTAATTCGGGCTAGTCATCTCCAATCTGGGTGCCTTTTGGACAGAATGGGTGCGCCAGAGAGACCTTTTTGGGGATGGCACTGTTGTGGGGATGTTGGCACGGGAACTATGTGTCATTACCAGTTTTGTTAACCCTGGTGCCAAGGTGTCTGGCCGATAATTAAATTACCAGCTCAGGCACAGGTGCCGTTTATGTCGCAATCTATTGTTCTCCCTTGGAACTTGTCTGGTCCAAGTATATAAGGTGACAATTTGCCTCAAAAAATCAGTTCTTATTCACCCTTCACTAAATCTCTGCTAATGTTTGGGTGAGACAGTTATACACTCTGCAAGAAAGCATAATCACTCTGGAGCTTCTACACAAGGGAAGGGGACAACCTAGGCGTCCCTCATGGGTATAACGCCACAAGTTCTTTATCTGCAGTAGAAGGTTCTGATTAAATAACGCTAAGCTCTTCGACCAGATGTTTCATCTAGGCCAGTGATGGCTAACCTTAAAGGACCACTATAGTGCCAGGAAAACATACTATAGTGCCCTGAGGGGTTAAACTTACATTTTTTCCAGCGACAGGCGGGGAGCTCTCCTCCGCCTCCGATCCTCCTCTTCGGCTGAATGCGCATGCGCGGCAGGAGCTGCGCGCTTTCAGCCAGTCTCATAGGAAAACATTCATAATGCTTTCCTATGGACACTGGCATCTTCTCACTGTGATATTCACAGTGAGAAGCACGCAAACGCCTCTAGCGGCTGTCAATGAGACAGCCACTAGAGGCTGGATTAACCCATTTATAAACATAGCCGTTTCTCTGAAAACTGCTATGTTTATAAAAAAAAAGGGTTAATCCTAGTGGGACCTGCCATCCAGACCACTTCATTAAGCTGATCCTTTAACACCATAAATTGTTTCTGGACTACATTTCCCATGATGCACAGCTAGCTTTTAGAGTCTAAAAGCTAGCTGAGCATTATGGGAAATGTAGTCCAGAAACAATTTATGGTGTCAAGGTTAGCCATCAATGATCTAGGCGATGTAAAGTATGAGGTCATTGAGATGGAGTTAGGGCTTGCAAGGCCAACACTGGTAATTTCTTTGTTGCTCTGCCTCTCTGGGGCACTGAATAAAATCAATTAACTGTTTTAAAGTAGCCCAGCCTCCAGTGGTGTAGCAAGGGGTGGGTGGTCCACCCCGGGCGGCACTTTTTGAGGGGTGGCAAGGTCCCTGTTGACTCCCATTCTCTGCTTGCCAGGTCTCTACTGTGCGGTGCAGTGAGGGGAAGAGGAGGGGCAGGAGGCATGGGAAGTGACGTCACTTCCTGTGCCTCCTGCCCTGCGAGTGAAGAGCAGCCTGACAGAAACACCAGGTAAGTTCTTCCCTGCACCCTCACAGATCACCCCTCTCCTTGCCTCCCCTGCAGACCCCCTCCCGGCATAGATCCACTCTCCCACTGCCTCCCTGACAGTCCCCCTCCCTGCACAGATCCCCTGTCTCACTGACAGTCCCCCACCCTGCATACAGGGCCGTCTTTAACGCGTGGCAAACGGGGCAGCTGCCCCGGTCCCAGGTACTCCTAGGGGGCCCAAGGCAGCTGCCCCATGGGCCCCACTGCCCTTAACTATTCCCCCCCCCCCCCCCCCCTTGCTTGGGCCCACAACACACTAAGGAGGCCCACTGGGTGGGCCATTCACTAAGGGCCACCCGGTGGGCATTTGTAAGCAGTGGCCCGGTTGCGCTGTTAAAGGGCCAGAGCGCACGACCGGGCCTCTTGCTCTCCTGTAGCCGGCTGGGCGGCGCACGGCTCTCTTCTCTGTGGGAGGAAGTGACTTGCAGCTGTCACTTCCTCCCACAGAGAGCCGAGTGGGAGACATCAAGGAGGCAGAGAGGATCGGGGCTGAGCCCAGCAAGGTAGGAAACATGTACAAAAGTATACATTGTGTGTGTGTGTGCATGTCTGTCTGTCAGTATCTGTGTGTGTGTGTGTGTGTGCATGTCTGTCTGTCAGTATCTGTGTGTGTGTCAGCATGTCTGTCAGTGTATGTGTCTGTGTGTGTCAGCATGTCTGTGTGTCAGTATGTCTGTCAGTGTATGTATATGTCTGTGTGTTAATATGTCTGAATGTGTGTCAATATGTCAGTAAGTATATATTTGTGTGTCAGTGCATGTCTGTGTGTGTCAGTATGTATCTGTGAAGGTCTCAGTATGTCTGTCAGTGAATATATGTGTGTTAGAATGTCTGACTGTGTGTGTGTATGTGTCAGTATGTCTGTCTAAGTATGTCTTTAATCATTCCACTATGTTGGGGTGAAAGGCGTGAATGTGTGTGTGTGTGTGGGGGGGGGGAGGGGGGTATTGCAAGATCCAGGGGGCCCAAGAAAATGCTTTGCCCAGGGTCCTATTAATATTATAGACGGACCTGCCTGCATAGATCCCCTCTCACCCTGCCTCCCTGACGGTCCCCCTCCCTCCCTTACACAGATCCCCTCTCCCCTGCACAGATCTCCTCTCCCTCTGCCTCCCCGGCACAGATCTCCTCTCCCCTGCCTCCCTGGCAGTCCCACTGCCTCCCCTGCACAGATCCCCTCTCTCCCTCACTTCCTGACAGTCCCTCTCCCTCTAGATCTCTAAAAGCTAGCTGAGCATCATGGAAAATGTAGTCCAGAAATAATTTATGGTGTCAAGGTTAGCCATCACTGATCTAGGCGATGTAAAGTATGCTGTTGTTGAGATGGACTTAGGGCTTGCAAGACCAACTCTGGTCAATTCTTTGATGCTCTGCCTCTCTGGGGCACTGAATAAAATCAATTAACTGTTGCGTAGCAAAGCGAGGGGCGGTTGGTCCACCCCAAGCGGCACTTTTTGAGGGGTGGCAAGGTCCCTGCTGACTCCCATACTCCCTCCCAAGCTCTGGGTGAGACATGGCAACAATCCTACTCTGCTTACCAGGTCTCCACCGTGTAAAGCAGTGAGGGGAAGAGGCGGAGCAGGAAGCATGGGAAGTGAGGTCATGTCCTGTGCCTCCTGTCCTGCAAGTGAAGAGGAAGAGCAGCCTGACAGGAACAACAGGTAAGCTTTTCCCTGCACATCCCCTTCCTCTCTACACCCTCAAAGAGCCCCCTGCCTCCCCTGAATAGATCCACTCTCCCTCTGCTTCCTTGATAGTCTCCCTCCCTGCACAGATCCCCTCTCTCCTGCCTCACTGACAGTCCCCCTCCCTGCACAGATCCCCTCTCTCCTGCCTCACTGACAGTCCCCCTCCCTGCATGGATCCCCTCTCCCCTTGCCTCCCTGACAATCCCTCTCCCCCTGCCTCCCCTGCACAGATCTCCTCTCCCCCTGACTCCATTAAAGTCCCCCTCCCTGCCACCCCTGCACAGATCACCTCTCCCTTCCTGACAGTCCCCCTCCCTCCCCTGCACAGATCCCCTGCCTCCCTGACAGTATCTCTCCCTCCCCTGCACAGATATCCTCTATCCATTGATAGCCTGCCTCCTTGCACAGATGCACTCTCCCCCTGCCTTCCCTGCACACATCCCCTCTAGCCTTGCCTCCCCTGCACATATCCCCTCTCCCCGGCCTCCCTGAAAGTCCTCCTTCCTCCCTTCCCTGCACAGATCCCCTCTTCCCCTGACTCACTTACATTCCCCCTCCCTTCCCTGCAAAGATCCCCTCTCTCCCTGACAGCCCGTCTCCCTGCACAGATCACCTCTCCCCCTGTACACATCCCCTCTTGCCGTGCCTCCCCTACACAGATCCCCTCTTGCGTGCCTCCCCTACTCAGATCCCTTTTTGCCGTGCCTCCCCTACACAGATCCCCTCTCCCCTGTCTCCCTGCCACCCCCTGCACAGGTCCCCTCTCTTCACTCCTGGCCTGCACAGGTCCCTCTCTCTTTCCTCCCTGACACCCCCACTCCCTCTCCTGCACAGATCCCCTCTCCCCCTGACTCTCTCCCCTGCACAGATCTCATTTCACAGATCTCATTTCCTTGCTCTCTCCCCTGCACAGATCTCATTTCACAGATCTCATTTCACAGCCCCACTCCCTGTACAGATCCCCTCTCTTCCTGCCTTCCCTACACACATCCCCGTTTCCATTACCTCCCCTGCACACATCCCTTCCCCACTCCCCTTCCTGACAGTCCCCCTCCCTCCCCTGCACAGATCCCCTCTGTCCCTGACAGCCTGCCTCCCTGCACAGATCCCCTCTGTCCGTGCCTTCCCTTCACACATCCCCTCTAGTCGTGCCTTCCCTGCACAGATACCCTGTCTCCCTGAAAGTCCCCCTCCCTCTCTCCCTGCCCTGCACAGATCCCCTCTCCCCCAACTCACTTACAGTCCCCCTCCCTTCCCTGCACAGATCCCCTCTCTCCCAGCCTCCCCTGCACACATCCCCTCTAGCTGTGCCTCCCTTGCACAGATACCCTCTCCTCCTTGCCTCCCTGACAGTCCCCCTCCCTGCACAGATCCCTCCCTCCCCTGAACAGATCCCCTCACCCCTGCCTCCCTGAAAGTCCCCCTCCCTCCCCTGCACAGATCCCTTCTCTCCCTTCACAGCCCCCTCCCCTTTTCCCCTGCACACATCCCCTTTTCCACTGCCTCCCTTGCACAGATCCCCCTGACTCCCCTGCACAGATCCCCTCTCCCCTGCACAAATTACACATTTTCAACGAGTATGAGAGAAAGCCTTTAACGCTAATTTTGGGTTCTGTAGAAATATGTCCGAGACAAGTATCACCGATAACCATCTAGAAACTAAAGGCATATTCTCGGCATAACCTAAATCTAGACCCAATTGGTTGATATTATTAGAGTGACGATCCGCCCGCTGATTGGTCACTTTACAAGCCTGAATTTGCATTGATGCGTGACGTCATCGGTACGGTACCACCCTCTCAAACGTGTCAACGGTTGATTGGTCATGTATCCGATTACAGCAAGGAAGCAACCTGTTTAAGAGGTCTCTCGGTCAGTACAACTTTCACCCCTGACGAAGGTGCACATGCTAGTGCATCGAAACGCGCGTCGATTTCTCTCTTCTTCACAGGGCACTTTCACTATGGTGTAGGCAACCAGCATCCTAAGCATGGTTCTACACTCGTAGCACTAATTCTTTCTAAATGTTTTTCCTCCAATGTTTAGACATTCCTCGAGATCACTTAGAATGGTAGAAACCCAAAAAACGATCATCATGTCTGTACTTTGGTTTAGTAGCAAGTGTTTACCTTAGCAATACTATCCCGCTGAGCTAGATTCAAATTACATGTCCAGCCAACCTCAAACCGTGACTTGCAGAATTATCAGCAAAAGTATACTTTAAGCCTGTACAAGGAATGATCGTTACAATTGCCATAGGATTACTTAGTTTCAGTGGCAACAATTTTGCAACACTCTTTCATTACAGCCAATGCAGACTTATAGCCAGTTGATTCATGTAATCTACTGAACCACAAGCATAACGCTATTTATTTTCTCTACCATTTGCCAAGAGACCAGATATCTGTAAATATCTGTAAATCTTTATTATTTATTTTTTATACTGTGTCTTTCCATCAAGCTATATTAAGAATTCACTCCTTGATCTCGACAACCTTGAATATTACTCAATTTTATATCCTACTCTATACATAGACAACACTTATTAAAGGACCACTCTAGGCACCCAGACCACTTCAGCTTAATGAAGTGGTCTGGGTGCCAGGTCCCTCTAGGACAGTGATGGCAAACCTTTTTGAGCCCGAGTGCCCAAACCGCAATACATGCCAACTTTGCTTTCCTTAAAGTGCCAACACGGCAATTAAACCTCAATACTGAGGTTTAAGTTTAGAAAAAAACAACTCGTACTGTTGTCCGAACTAATTAACAACTTTTGTTTTAAAAGAACACAACAACAGAGAGTTCAATGATAGAAATAGATAAAATTAAGCTTATATTTATTAGTATCTCAAACAAATGTAATACATACACACACAGACTGCTGAATACATACACACAGTTTGCTGAATACACACACACAAGACTGCTGAATACAGAGACTGCTGAATACACACACACACACACAGTCTGCTGAATACACATACAGACAGACTGGTGGGTACACACACACAGTCCGCTGAATACACACACACACACAGTCCGCTGAATACACACACACACACAGTCCGCTGAATACACACACACACACACAGTCCGCTGAATACACACACACACAGACTGCTGAATACATGCGCGCACACACACAGACTGCTGAATACACGCACACACACAGACCGCTGAATACACACACATACTGCATTGAGAGGTGTAGTGTATGTGTTTGTGTGTGGGGTGCTGTGTGTGAGGGGTGTTGTGTATGTGTGTGTGTGAGGGGTGGTGTGTGTGTGTGTATGAGAGGTGCTGTGTGTGTGTGTATGAGGGGTGCTGTGTGTGTTTGTATGAGGGGTGTTGGGTGTGTGTGTATGAGGGTTGCTGTGTGAGGGGTGCTGTGTGGGGGGTAGGGGTGCTGTGTGTGTTGTGGGGGTGCTGTGTGTGTAGGGCTGCTGTTTATGGGGAGTAGGGGTGCTGTGTGTGTGGTGGGTAGGGCTGCTGTGTGTGGTGGGTAGCTGGGGAGAGGGGAGGGAGCTGGGTGTGGGGAGGGAGCTGCTGGGGAGGGGAGATGCTGTGTGTGGGGGGTAGGGGCACTGTGTGTGGGGGGGGGTAGGGGTGCTTTGGGGGTTAGTGGTGTTGTGGGGGGCAGGGGTGCTGTGTGTGTGGGGCTGGGGTAAAGGTGTTTTAAAAAAATATATGCTAAATCAGTACCCCCCCTTCCTCCTTCTTACCTTTGTGGAGAGTTGCCATGGTAACGCGCGGCAATGCTCCACACAGCTTGGTCGCGGGAGGACAGGGGAGCTGCTTCACTGATCCCTCCCCCTGCCTTCCGACACGGAAGCAGAGTATGCCTACTCTGCATTGATGGCGAACCTATGGCCGCGTGCCCACAGAAAGGGCCCGGCGTGCCACAGGTTCGCCATCACTGCTCTAGGATTAACCCCCTTTTTTTTTTATAAACATAGCAGTTTCAGGGGTCTGCCCACTGAGAAACAACTAAGTTTGATATATAATGAGGGTGCCGGACTATCCAGGTCAGTTATTCATTTTTCTTTTGTCAGCAACTTCTAGGAGACCTATACCATCTAAGACTCCCACAAGAATTCTATATGGGGTAACTACATGTAAGGAATTTCTTGTGTTTTCTCCTATTTTATTTTATGTACTGTTTTGCAATTTGTTATCTGTATGTCATTTATTTCTGTATTTTGTACTCAGCACTGTGAATCCTTTTTGTCAGATTAAATGTTTACTTAATCAGCTTGTGTCTCTGTTCTCTATGAGCTTCACTCTCCAGAGGAAAGCTCAGGTAAACACGTTACCAAAAAGGGGTTAACTATATATGTTTTATCAGTAAAAGTAGAACTGTGATACTATAATTCTCCTGTGTGTGGGGTAAGACGCCCGGGTTTAAAAGTCTTGGTGGTGGCAGTAAAGTGTGTACTAAGGGGGTTAGTGTAGAAGGGATTGCAGGAGTAATTGAGTGGTTGCTGGGACTAGCAACAGGTAACCAGGGGTCTGGTGTCATTAACCCTGTCACTTTCACACTCTCCCCACTGTCTCGGCTGGGCCTATAGCCCACGCACGTGACATGGTCCTTTAAAGTCTGAAGCTTGACGATTGGGATATGAACCATTTGAGCCCATTGGAGGAATAGCCAGTAGGCTACAGTCAATTTAAATTAACTGGAACAGATTTTTGAACTCCCCAAAATATATACTTTTTCTGACAAATAACACTATAAAACAGTAGGTGTAAAGGCACTTCAAATTGATTATATGGTGTGTATATGAGTTTGAGGTATTTCCCCAATCACCTTAACATGCATATAAATAAACAAAAGCTGTAGTTGATAAACAACCTATCACATACAACACCTTTTGATGGATAAAAATGGTATACGCTAAAAGATGGATGTCCATACATAGATTGTAATTATACAGCATACAGGAATCTACAAAAGATAGAAATAACCAAACATAGTGTATTTAGAAATGAAAGCATAAAGTGGTATGTATACACTCACAAGTGTAGAGTCTTACCAGGTTCTATATAAACAGCTTCTAGGTGCCAATAATGGTACAATTATTCATCCACAGGTAGGCTTGAAGTAGATCTTAAAAATCGTTTTTATCAAGTAAAAGATACTTTTAAAAAGTCAGGACATATAAAAGCAGTGTGTAGAAATAACATAAAAGGTATATACACTACCACAGCCACATATAAGTCCTTTAAAATATGCGAATATGCTTCGACTTTAAGCAGTCTTCCTCAGTGCAGTGATGGGCGCTCCTGTTCCTCTAACAATATTCCCAAAGGACAGTTAGAATGTTAAGGAACTGTAGTGACGTCGAACAATATAACGCTCAAGCTAATGTTTTAACAACTTTTTTTTAAAAATTATGACACAAGAAAAAGAGCGCAACTAAGAATAAAAATAATTCTATATAAACAATAAATACAAAGCTTCTATACACATTGAAGATAATTCTCCAAATCTTCTCTACAGAATTATGATTATATGAAGCCATTTATTATCACATAGTTGTTTAGCATATTGTGAAGTATACCATTTTTATTCATCACTGAGTGTTGTATGTGATAGGTTGTTTATCAACTACGGTTTTTGTATATTTATATACTTTTCCTAACCTTTAAAAGTCATATTTGATAAATATAGTGGTAAGTAAAAATACAGTTAAAAACTAGTGATGTCCCAAACGGTTCGCCGCGGACTCATCATTGAGTAAACTTTGACCCTGTACCTCACAGTCAGCAGACACATTCCAGCCAATCAGCAGCAGACCCTCCCTCCCAGTCCGCCCCGGGTGTCAGCAGGGTGGGGGGTGCCTTGGGAGGGGGCGCCGGCCCCCCTCCTGCTGCAGCCGCCCGAGCGCTCTGTAGAGAGCCTCAGGCGGCTGCAGCTTTGCCTGCCCGGGCGCAGCCTGAGGAGAGGGGCTGACAGGAGGGAAGCGCTCAACACTCCCTCCTGTCACTCCCTAACTGTAGCGTGGCCGAGCCCTGTATAGTACAGTGTGCACTTCTCGTTAGTCCGGCCTGGTACAGGAAACAAAAGCTACCTGTACCCGCAGACTATACTGGGCTCGGCCACGCTACAGTGAGGGAGTGACAGGAGGGAGCGCTGAGTGTGTCAATGTTGTATTAGGTTTGTGTCACCTTTAGAAAGGATGAACTCTGCAAATAAGGAGAGATGGAGGGGGTGGAATAAGGAGAGATGGAGGGGGTGGAATAAGGAGAGATGGAGGGGGTGGAATAAGGAGAGATGGGGGTGGAATAAGGAGAGATGGGGGAATAAGGAGAGATGAGGGGTGGAATAAGGAGAGATGGGGAGGGGTGAATAAGGAGAGATTGGGTGGTGGAATAAGGAGAGATGGAGGGGGTGGAATAAGGAGAGAGAGGGGTGGAATAAGGAGAGATTGGGGGTGGAATAAGAGAGATGAGGTGGAATAAGGAGATTGGGGGTTGAATAAGGAGAGATTGGGTGGTGGAATAAGGAGAGATTGGGGTGGAATAAGGAGAGATTGGGGTGGAATAAGGAGAGATGGGGGTGAATAAGGAGAGATGAGGGGTGGAATAAGGAGATTGGGGTTAGAGATTGGGTGGTGGAATAAGGAGAGATTGGGGGGGAATAAGGAGAGGTGGAATAAGGAGAGAGGAGATGGAATAAGGAGAGATTGGGGTTGGAATAAGGAGAGATTGGTAAGGTGGAATAAGGAGGGGTGGAATAAGGAGAGATTGGGGGTGGAATAAGGAGAGATGGGTGGGTGGAATAAGGAGAGATGGGGGTGGAATAAGGAGAGATAGTGGAATAAAGAGAGATTGGGGGTGAACAAAGAGAGATTGGGGTGAATAAAGAGATTGGGGTGGAATAAGGAGAGATGGGGTTGAATAAGGAAAGATTGGGGTTGAATAAGGGAAAGATTTGGGGGTGGAATAAGGAGAGATTGGGGGTGGAATAAGGAGAGATTGGGGTGAAAAAGAGAGATTGGGTGGAATAAAGAGAGATTGGGGAATAAAGAGAGATTGGTGGTTAAGGAGAGATTGGGGTGGAGAGAGATGGGGTTGGAAAGATTGGGGGTGAATAAGAGAGGGGGGGAATAAGGAGAGATTGGGGGGGGAATAAGGAGAGGTGGGGGGTGGAATAAGGAGAGATGGGGGATAAGGAGAGATTGGGAGGGGGAAGGAAATTGGAGGGGGGATAAAGAAAGATTGGGAGAGGGGGATAAAGAAAGAAATTGGGAGGGGGAGAGAGAAGGAAATTGGAGGGGGGGGGAGATTGACATTCATCACACACAATGCACCCCTTGCACACAGAAAAAACACACAATGCATTACACACACTGCATTACACACACAGACACACATACACAAGCAATGCAACCGTTACACACAATGCATTCATTACACACACTCAAGGCACCCCTTACACACACTCAATGCATCTCGTACATACACAGAAACACACCTTGCAGCCCTTACACATACAAACACAGATTCACACAATGCATTCCTTACACACATATCAGAATATCCCCTACACACTCCACCCCCTGTGAACAAACTCATTGGTGGAACATGAAGGTGGACCCTGGGACCCAGACCTTGAGCTGTGTAAAGGGCTCCCAAAAAATGGAGCTGCTTCCCGTTCTCCCAGAACATTGATTTTTGTGACCACAGTTACAAACCGCCCCCAGAGAGCCTGTTCTGCACCAGACCAGTGGAGCCAGACTGCAGCTAGAGCCCATCATCATCCTCATCTGGTTGTAAGTAGGCAATCTAGTATATTATTCGTGGCACTAAGCTCTAATTTACCTCACATTAAAGAAATACTATAGTCCCCAGAACCACTTCAGCTTAATGTAATGGCTCTGGTGTCTATAGCCTGTCCCTGCAGGCCTTTTAATGTAAACACGGCGCACTGCAGCACTGGCGTTAGTTAACATGGCAAATCATATGGGTGGGGCATTGTGATGTCACATGGGGGGGCGGCAAACTTTACTTTTGCCTAGGGCGGCAAAAATCCTTGCACCGGCCCTGGCTGGAGGGGGCTGTGTGAGCTGTGGCTGCACAGTGCCCCATGGTAGTTAGGGTGCCGTGCGGCCAGTACAGCTCACACAAGCAAACAGCTGATAAACTGGCCGCACGGAGGAAAAGTGGGGCGGAGCTAAGCAAAATCAGAGGTGGAGCCAAACTGGTGCTGGGGGCGGGGCTTTGGGGGGGCAAGGGGGTGCCAAGCACAGGAGCCGCCCCGGGTGCCAAATGCTCTAGGTACGCCCCTGCACACATGAGTGTTTCTTCTGCAAGACTAATACAAAAAGAACAGCTGGTGCATAGGGACATCTCAAGCAACATTGAACAGCTTGTGTACTTTATTTAAGAAATAACTCATCATAGACTGTGGCTTTTTATCAAACATTTCTTTTTATTTCTTCATTTACATCCAAAAATATGTAATAAACAGTCACCTAAGTCTGGAAGAAAGGGCATGACAGGTTACTCAGACAGTTGCTGTGACACAGTTGGACGTGGAGAGTGGAACTAACTGGACTATTTCATTTCCAAGCATACTGTACATTTGTTTAGTACCAGTTTGGCCTAAATACAGCCAAAGAGAACAACTGCTCCCACTGTCCAAAGTTGGCTAAACAAAGTTACCGATACCACCTGAAGGCTAATGTAGGAAGTGGGTGGATGTGAACTATCATTTCTTCAGAACCATTAGTCACACAATTAAATGTAAGCACATCAGTGCTGGGATTTGTTGTGCCTGTTAAAAAGCAAACAATACTATTGACAAAACTACATACATTTTATAATGTCCAACAATGTTCATGGTCAATGTTTGCCTTTGGATAGTTTTGAAGGTTTGGCAGAAGCTCCTGGGATTGTTTTATTTCTAGTATGGCCACCAAATTCAGACTTATATAAACACATTTTTCTTATAACTCCATCTTCCTTTTTTTTACTAGAAAGTCACTAATGGACTAATTCTAGCACTAAGCAAACAATCTAAAGTGTATAGTTTTACAAAAGGTAGCAGAATAATATATTTTGGCCTTCCCAGAGGATATTCTGATTTACAAATGATAAACTTTGAGCCATTGTAATTGCAGGCAAATTAACTCATCATTTAAATTGTTCCACATAGGAGAAACTTCCTGAAATTCACTTAATTCCAAAAACATGCATGATAATATTGATTTTGCCACCTTTAAAGAGTAGGGCGAGTACTAGCTTATTTGAAATACAGAGGTTGTATAAATAGACTTATATTACATATGTATAATCAGTAGGTGAACTGATTTTTACCTTATAATATATTAAAGTAGATTGAGATTCTATCATAATATAAAAATATGCCTCTTGGGATAACAGCAGACTTTTTTTATTCTTGTAGGCATCCTTTAAATGATGGATAGCAAACCATTTTATTTCTGAAGAAGTACACCTACAGTGATTTGTTTTGTCTTATATTTCTGAAAAAAAGTTCAGGGCAGAGCATTCATTTAAAGCATGTTCTAGCATAGATTGATATTAATGGCCATATAGTCTAGTTAATGCACTGGAAGATTTAATAACTAGTAGAGACTTGTGTACACAAGTTATTGAATTTGTGTGTACATTAATTTTGAAATGGCTTGTCTTACTGTATAGAAATGCACTGGAAGATTTAATAACTAGTAGAGACTTGTATACACAAGTTATTGAATTTGTCTGCACATTCATTTGGAAATGGCTTGCCTTACTGTAGAGAAAACACGCTTTATTCTCAGTTCTCATGGTCAACCTGAGCCTTACCCATTCTACAATATTGGAATGCAAACTTAAAGATTGCAGTTTATTGATAAGCCTTCTATGTGCAACAGTGTCAAAAGCCTTACTGAAATCTGGGTAAGCAATGTCTACTGCACCACCCTGATCTATTATTTTAGTTACCCAATCAAAAAAATCAATAAGATTAGTTTGGCATGATCTCCCTGAAGTAAACCCATGTTGTCTCTGATCTTGGTTAAATAAATCTGTTAATGGTTTTGCTAGTACACCACTAAGCTCTTTTAATAACTTTGGGTGTATTCCATCTGGTCCCATTGACTTATTTGTGTTTACGTTTGACAGCTGAAATAGAACCTCTTCCTCTGTAAACTCACATGTAACAAATTACTCATTTGTCCTTTTCCCTAACTGAGGCGCCTCTCCATTTTCATCTGTAAATACTGAACAAAAATATTAATTGAGGCAGTCAGCTAGACCTTTATCCTCTTCTACATACCTTCTTTCTTTTGTTTTTAATCTAACTAATCCTTGTTTTACTTTACTTCTCATTTATGTATCTAAAAATGTCTTGTCCCCTTTTTTTACTGACTGTGCAATTTTCTCTTTGTGTGTGATTTGGAAGATCGTTTAAGTTGCTTAGCTTCTTTCTGCCTAATCTTATAGATCTGACTATCTTCCTCACTCAGAGTTTTTTATAATTACTAAATGCTAACTTTTAGTTTTTTACTATTTTGGCCACATCTGCAGAGTACCACAGTGGTTTCTTGAATTTTTTGCTTTTACTGACAAGTCTAATGCAATTCTACATGGACCTGGTGTCACCATTCTATGGTGTCTGTAACAGTGTGTAATATCACTGTCTCAGTATAGATGGAAAAAATACCTTCTCAATTATTTTAGACTGGCCAGTAGAAATTATAATCGTGTGGAAGTAGCAGCATGGCTGAGATTTTGGGTGGAGCAGTAATAGTCAACTGAGAATGAAAATGGAAATCTCAGATGGCCAAGAACACCTTTCATTACACACATTCCAAAATTGAACACGTTGTGCAAAATGCATTTCCATGTCATATCTGTATTATTAATTATAGAAGAAACCAAGAGGGCTGCACTCACCTGAACATGCATACATTATATGGTGCTGCTGGGGCCAAAAGATTTGAAATCATTGTTTAGTGAAAAAGCGAGTGCGCTGGATTCTGTATTTTGTATATTTTGGCCCCAGCAGCACCCTATAATGTATGCATGTTCAGGTGAGTGCAGCCCTCTTGGTTTCTTTTATATATTTGGGAGTCCCAGGCCAGCTCCTTGGTTTTGCACTCCTCCCTGTTACAGGTGCCTCATTCCAGGGCCCTATTTATCCTTGACTTGCAGAGAGTCCTAGTAAGGAAGTATTTCCCAAGTAAGTGGATTAATCTCATAAGAGCAAGCATTAGGCTGTTACTAGGATAGGACCTGCCGAATATGGGGTACTTTGACGTCGTTGGCAGGCTTATGCAATGTATGATCATATAATGTAACTAAACCCCCATCATTTTTTGCCTAGGTGAGGTGTTTTTAAATAAAACTCTTACAATCTCTAAGATTTGAAATCATTGTTTAGTGAAAAAGCGAGTGCGCTGGATTCTGTATTTTGTATTTTTAATTACATATATATTATATATAAGATTTATATTTAATCTTTTACACGATAAACAGTCTAGTTACCATAATATGTATTTGTTTCTTTGCTTACATAAACAAATTAATAAATAAAACATCTTGGATAATTTGGTTTATGTTCGTGCATAACCTTTTAAGGCTCCAGGTTCCAAGTTCTGAAATAACAGACAAATCTAATGCAATAATATGGCTTGAACTTCTTAGAATGTTGTACATATTACACGGATAAGGCAGAAAAACACCTTTTGAAAAGTTTGGTTAGTTTTATTCTTTGTGTGTAAATAGAAGGACTCTTGCACTGTATTCCAACTTGCGTTATTATGTGCATAAATGTGTATATGTGTATATATTCTCTACAAAAAGAAAGTGTAGTACTCAAATCATAACTATGTCACCTGTGGATTAAAATGTGCCAACTTTCTACACCAGTGCTCTTACCCAAGGGATCTGTTGACTCCTGACAAACAGAGCCAGTAACATGATTTGACACAAGAGGAAAACTAATAAACTAACAGGGTTAGTAGCTAATCTAAGACCAGTTTGAATCCATGGTAAATTTCAGTGGATTTTATTAAAGACACGGAGGCTCCTATTATGCATATCTCTTTCTTTATTACTCTCAGCAGCAAAGAAATAGAGATGAATAAATAACTGAAATGAACAAAAAAACACAGTGCTCAAGCAACCAATCACATAACACAGGAAGTGACTATAACATGCTTGATGCACCCACAATCCCCCTCTTTCTTTGCTGCTCTCAGACCAGTTAAGTACATACTTTTCATGCTCTGTGATTATAGTGTACTTTGATGCTGTTTTTTGCTTGTTTGCCCCTGTTCTCTCTAGCCCTAGTGGCTTACTAGGGGCCTGTATTTATTTTCCTTTTTTTCTGTATTTATTATATTGTCCTTTTATTAATTTTTTGCCTTGCGGTGTGCCCTTGGACCTGTTGCCGCCTGTGCTCAGTCCTTGTTACTACCCCAACTGGCTACCCCTACCCTACAGGGAGCGGGTCCTGCCCCTAACCCCGCCTCACCTATAGCCCATAAGGCCGTGGTGAAGAGCAAACTCCTCTCCTCCCACTCCATGACGCAGGTTATACCTGCCTTGACGGACTCGCCTCAGGCAGTCACAGATGGCGCACTACCACCGCGCAAAAGAGCCCCTGGTCGGGCAAAAAACGGCCAGAGAATGGAAACGGCTAGATCCCGTGAAGAAGGGTCGGAGAGCGACCGGAGTGAGGGGGATGAGTCTGAGGAGATGGATTATGCCTCTTATGATGAGGCCGGCTCGGAGGAGGGATCTCCCCCTGCCGTAGCACCCCGTACTGGGGGCACTGCTCCTGCCCAGGGTGTTGCTGCTCAGGGAGCGGGCGGTGGCGCAGTGCATCCGTTTGACCCGGATGACCTGCGTCATCCCCGCTCGGCTGAGTGGGAACCACCCGAGCATATTGCCCGTTATATTGCGCACAGGATGCGCAAGCCACTTTCTAAGGAAGGTCGCAGTAAATTGCGGGCAGAATGCCCTAGACCTTCAGTGCCAGGATCGGCGTGCAAGACACCCGAGGTCGATCCACAGATCGCACAGTTTCTAAATAAATCAGGCTGGAAGCCGAAAAAAGGCTTAGATTTTTCCCTGAGGAGTTGCCAGGACAAAATCATGGACACACTCGGCCCATTATCAAAGGCCTACGAGCTGTTATAGTCCGCAAAATCAACGTGTCATTTGTTTGCTCGGCAATGCCAATGTGGCAGTGTCTGCCGGGCGCAGGAAAGCTATCCTGCTCAAGATTGACCTGAAATTGGCTACCATGGCCATATCAGAACCAGGACCCTCGGCCGAGGGAATATTGTTCGGCGACAATTTCATCAAGGACTTGGGATCTTATGTGAAGACATTCACCACCATTGATAAGGCCCAGGCCAATATGAAGAGGGTGTTTTCCCCTAGGGTTTTTGGAGGGGCCGGGCGCAACAGGAGCCATCCACACGGACGTGGTTTCAGGGGCTCGTTTCTGGCGCAAAGAGGCTCCTTCTTCCCTTCTAGAACCTTCCAGGAGCCCAGACCGGCTCCATTCTTCCCATCAAGGGGGAGGCCATGGAATCCCCACTATCCAAGAGGGGCCACATCAGGCAGACGCCCTTATCGTGAGTACCCCTGTTTCTCCTTATGTTCAAGAGCGGGTGGCAGGCAGATTGGCAAGGCGTGGGCCGCCTTAACGACAGATGCGTGAGTTCTCCACACAGTAAAGGGTTATCATATAGACTTTGTATCCATGCCTGTTCAGCTTTCTATCCCCAGGGAACTGTCTCTCGCTCGAGATCAAGAAGAATTGATCTCCTCGGAGATCGTGGAACTTTACGCCAACGGGGCGATACAAGAGGTTCCGTTCACTCAGCCAGGGTTTACGAGCAACCTCTTTTTGGTCCCGAAGAAAGGAGGCGGTGTGCGTCCCGTCATCAACCTCCGTCCCCTCAACGCCTTCCTTCAATACCAGCACTTCTAAATGGAAGGCATACATTGCCTTCGGGATCTCCTACAGGAATCCTACTGGTTAGCCAAAGTGGACCTGAAGGATCCACCGTCCCTATAACCGAGGAACACAGAGATTTCCTCCAGTTCACCTGGAAGGGAAGAAAATGGAAGTTTACATGTCTACCATTCGGGCTCTCCTCGGCTCCCTGGTGTTTCACCAAGGTCATGAAGCCGGTGGTGTCCTTCCTCCGAAGCCGTGCAGTACGACTGATTATATATTTGGACGAAAAAGAAAATGAAGGCCATCAAGAAAGAAATCAGGCGTACATTACGGGCAGACGATCTCTCTCTCCGTCATCTGGCAAGGGTGATCGGCCTGTTGGCCGCCTCGATACAGGCAATATTCCCTGGACCACTCCACTATCAGGCCCTTCAACATCTGAAGGGCTCTCATCTGCGCGCAGGCCAGTCTTACGAGATGAGAGTGAAACTGGACGAGGAGTCCAAAGACGAGCTGACTGGTGGTTGGCCCACATGGACGCCTGGAACAGGAGAGCTATATACGGCTCCATTCCAGACGTGGATAGAATCGGATGCCAGCTTGCACGGCTGGGGTGCACGCTGTGGTACCGCATCTACCGGAGGCAGATGGTCAGACCAAGAGCAAACGCTCCATATCAACTGCCTAGAACTATTGGCAGGGGCGTTCGCTATTCACAGCCTTACACCAGAACGTGCGAATTGTTGCGTGATGCTCAGGATGGACAACGTGTCGGCAGTGCGTTACATCAACCACCTAGGGGGCACGAAATCACGCATGTTAGCCCTCCTGGCGAAGGATTTCTGGTGGTTCTGCCTTCACAACAACATTTCTGTGCAAGCAGAACATATACCGGGTCTGGACAATTTGACGGACGATTGGAATTCACGTTATTTAAAAGCCTCTGGAGATTGGCACTTACACGCTGCGGCGTTCCAGGGATTGAGTCAAATATGGGGCCCATTCGAAATGGACCTCTTCGCTTCTCATCTTAACACACAAGTGTCCAAGTTCTTCAGTTGGAGGCCAGACCCGGCAGCAATGGCAACGGACGCATTCCTTCAGGAGTGGCCAAAGACTCGAATTTACGCTTTTCCCCCGTTAAATCTGATAGCTCGCACGTTATCGAAAATGACTCAAAATGGCTGTTCGATGGTACCGATCACACCCCTTTGGCGGTCACGGCCTTGGTTCCCTCGGCTACTGGAGTTGACCACAGATTACCCACGACTGATACCAACCTGCCCGAATCTCCTGAGGGATCCGGATGGCAACTCACACGAGTTAGTGGATCATGGCCTTCTTCAACTGATGGCATGGCCCCTTTCCGGAGACCTGGATCTATCATAGGAGTTCAGCAGTCAACTCTCGACCTCCTCAACAATGCATGGGCGCCGGGTACTCGAGTGGCATACTGATCCGCCTGGCGCATCTGGTCTAGTTGGTGCATGGGACGGACAGTGGGTCCTGTATCTCTCCCTTTGCATATGATCATGGAATTCCTTACCGTACTGTTTGAATCTGGGAAGGCTTATCGCACCATTAACTTATGTCGTTCTGCTATCTCGGCTGGACATCAGGGTTTAGACAGTTCACCCTTCATATGCCGATTACTCAAAGGGATTTGTCTCACTAGACCACCCTGTGCGAGGTTCACTGCCTTCTGGGATGTGAATGTGGTCCTCCGATTTTTATCATCTTGGTACCCGAATCAAGATCTGACACTGAAGCAGCTGTCGGCTAACGTGGTCATGCTGTTATGTTTGATCTCCTGTAAACGGGTTTCGGATGTTAGAGCATTGGAATACCATTACGTTTACCCCGGAAGGCATCTCCTTTAATATATCCAGAAGGACGAAGCCAGCTTCCAAGGTGTTTGTATATCCAGTAGAGTGCCTGAAAGCTTATCTTGAGGCTACTCGAGCTTTGCGCTCTCCAGATTTGTGCCCATTGTTCATTTCGTTTCGCACCCCACACCTACCGGTATCTACCCCTACGTTGGCGAGGTGGGTGCGGGAGTTATTGGCATTGGTCGGGATCGACAAGTCCAGATTTACCCCTCATTCAGGTCTCCAAGGCCTCGGCAATGGGTTGTCGCTTGGAGGATATCCTACGTGCGGCAGATTGGTCGCGGGAATCGACTTTTCGTGACTTCTACTTTAAGCCGGTCGAACATTTTGCATCTCAGGTGGTTTCTAAGCTTCAAACTAGCATACTAGGAGCCGCCGTGTCTTTAATAAAATTCCCAGATTTTACTATTAACATGACGTAAAGTCATGATTTTATTAAAGACACCCGGTTGGGTTTGGAAAGTGAACTGGTATGGTGGATGAATCTGGTAAGTTTCTCTATTTTGAGTTTTGGTTCCACTGTTTCATTTTTCTGACATTTTTTGTGTTGTTGAATTGCGTTTATGCTTCCACTTGATATCCTAGATGTTTAAGGGTAAGGGGTGGGCTTGATTTAACAGAGTAATTGACTGTCAATATACACATACAGTTTAGAGCCCAGATATTACCATATTTTCTTTTCTATGTCTCCCCTTTTAGCCTGAATTATCGTGTCTTTCCATGTTGGAGACGCTGTTGGCTACGTTAGCTGAAGTTGGATTGTTCTACGTGCTGGTCTTCGTTATCCGCAAGAAAGAGGGGGATTGTGGGTCATCAAGCATGTTATAGTCACTTCCTGTGTTATGTGATTGGTTGCTTGAGCACTGTGTTTTTTTTGTTCATTTCAGTTATTTATTCATCTCTATTTATTTGCTGCTGAGAGTAATAAAGAAAGAGATATGCATAATACTCGCCTCCATGTCTTTAATAAAATCATGACTTTACGTCATGTTAATAGTAAAATCTCGGAATTTTTGCTATTGTGTGTAATTGAGGCATAAGAAATTAACAAGGTTAGAGCATGCTTGAATATATTGCACCTGTTGAATGACTTTCTCCTTCTGATTCTTTTTGTGGAATTAGGGGAGATCCCATGGTGGTTGTGAAGCACTGGAGTATAGCATAAATCGATAATGCAAGCAATGGATATTATACTTAGTTGGTATAATATTTAATATAGGTCTAAAAAGAACATTTGTAAACCCTTGAGTATCATTTCATCACATCATTTTGAGTAACCCAAGTGATAACTAATGATATTATGGTTAAATTACCCAAAAAGGCCTGCCTTTATTGAACACATTGTTACGAAATCCGTTTTTATTAGAGAAAGTATGTGAAGCAAGAAGCATATACTTTTATAACTGGTGATATCTGCTTTGGCAACAAAACATGGCAATAAATACCCCCATATTCCTTTTATGTTATTTTTGCCAATTATTCTTCACAGAACTATTATGATAATCATTAATTGTCATATATAAATTGCTGTCTTCTTTCTACAAGTCAAGTGGGTTACAGTAGTGCTTTTATTTTCTGTGGATAGTTGCTTGGGGATTGAATGCTATGATATGCCTATTTCATCCAATTAGTAACCTATCGAAATGTCATGAAGAATTTTGGTTGTAGAATAATTGAGCATAGGATATAAATCTGTCATACCAATTTACATCATTCCTTTATCTTGTGTTTTTTCACATGATGGCTTTTTTCACATCATATGTGATTTACCTCTTAAATTAATTTACTCACAATTAAGATCATATCTTTGCCAGTTTTGATCTTAGCTTGGACACTTTTATTCTTCCATGATAATGTCTGCCATAATGTGAAACACCTTAAAATAACTTTTTTTTTTTTTTTTTTTAGGTTCACATACTTTTTCCAACAAAAAAAACATGGCAACAAAGAACAACATAAGCTGAAGGAAAAAAAAATCTTTGCTATGTTAAAAATTATCAGTGCAGACAGGTTGTTACAAAAAAAAAGATCTAATTACTCACTTAATTTCATTCAAGACTAAAGTGCTTCAATGTAGGCATATTTTTCTTGCAATGTTTATTGTTTTTTACACAAAAGATTGCACATTTTATGCCATGGGTTATCTATCTCAGTTGCAAAACTGCACACTTTTACTTGGTGGCACCTACATTTTTGTTTTAATTTATTTGAGTTTTTCTTTAATATTACTTAGCTGTGACAAAGTATGGCATTTCTTTTTAAGTGTAATTCATGTCACTTTTGGCACATGTATGTAGGTATTTATGTGTGTGTGTGTGTGTGTATATATATGTATGTGTATATATATGTGTGTATTTCAGTGACAGTGTATTTTTACCTGGATCATTGAGGTCAAGGCTGCAAATGGCTGCAAATGCTTTTCATATATCAGTTTAGTACCCAGGTTGTTATTTTATTAAGTTACTGGTAACTTGATTATTGTAGTTTTTACCTGCTTCTTATGGGCCATTAACAACTATCCCAAAACATTCTTATTGCTAACATCATCTCACATCTCACTCCCACTATGTAGCAGGGAGACAGATTCCCTGATATAAGCTAAAAGTTCCCTGACCCCAGTGCAATGGAAGATAATGAGATTCTAAAACACCACCCCTACCCCCAGTGCCATCCTTACTTTAAAGGAAAAAAAAAGAACAGTCAGACATGGGCCGATAAGACTGTCCCGTCCAAGTCTATAGACTTTAGACTTTATGGCTTGGATGGCAGATTCCAGTTTCCAAAATGGATTATGTGCTTTGGATCATTAACGAAGCAAGAATGGTATACAATTTGTCAACCCAGAGGAAGGCATTGGTTGTATCACTGTGGGAAAGCCTCCTTTTTACTGTTTTCTATGACATTCTCCTTGGGAAACAGTTTAGTAAGGAGCAAACATTATGGATGTCGGAGCTGGCCTCAGGGCAGGGGGTGCATTTCGGAACAGAGCTGGTCCCAAGAGAGGAGTTTGGAAGAGTGCAGCCGCAGTGGCAGGGCGCAAGGCAAGGGGACCAGGAAGAGTGCAGACAGCTGCTGGTGTGAGGGGACTTGGGAGAAAGCGTGCAGCAAGAGTCTTGGTCAGGTGTTTATGCAATGCCAGTCTGGTCTGTTATAATGAGAAAAAAATAAAACATATATTAAAATTGTTATGTGCATGAATGTTAAATTCTTGTGAAATTATATAAATATATAATTATATTTTACATATACTCTTAAACTATGTCTTTTATGTATCTTTTGGAACTCTAAGTGCTAATTCCCTTCAAGAATGCTATATCCGGAATATACCACTAGAAGGTACTAAAAGCCCCTTTAAATTTTTATATGTGCAATTCATATCGAAGAGTTATTCTGAATTTCCTGTTTCTTTTAAAGGCTTCACAAAACTGTTTTCTTCTGTTTGATTTTTTAAAATGTATTCTGTTTTGTTTGTTTTATTTTCGAGAGATTCAAGCAATCTTCTATAGACAAATCAAATAGAATTAATGTTGTACAATCTGTGGATGGCAATTTGATACATGCATACTTACTGCTAATGCTGCATTCTTCTGTAACTTGCTAAAGGGGCTGTATTTAGGTTTTGGGGGCTTTCCGGCCAGTCTGTCTTTGTGCCTACGGCTGCTCATGTGCTGCGAAATAAAGCAAGACGGATGATTATCTATAGTAATAAGGTGACTTTTATAAGAGTGAAGCTATTCATATATAAATGTAATACATAAAGAAATCCTTAATAAATCATTTTGAGAGGAAGTATTTTAGCAAAAAATGGATTCTTATATATGTAATGTAAATATTTTGCCACATGTCTTTCTGTGAGGAAGCATTCTTCCTAGTGTGCATGTTTCACAGTGTTTAAATGTCAATCCCAACGCTACTTGGCTGGCCTGAAAGTATGCCACCACTGCAAGCCTCCTTCTTTAATGTGTCCTCTTGGACAGCAGCATGCACAGCCTCCCTGCCTAGAAAGAACTCACAAAGTATCTGAAAGCATAATGTAAGATGTTGTACATGATTTGAATCCCAGCAAACTTAGGGGTTTAGTATATTATTATTTTCACGGTGATTACCATAGATATTCCTGTATATCTAGGAAGAGAAAGGAACTTACTTTTTTATCTATTTCCCCTATAAATCAGTCAACCTGTCTAAGACATTCATAGTGTTCACTGCAGCCATGAAAGTATTCTGAAGTGCTGCATGTTGTGGAACTATGTTGGATGAGAGCTATGCACACTTCCAGATTTAGAAAGAGGTATTTCTTGCAAGGTGGCGCTGTGTATGAAGAAAGGCAGGGATAGGAAGCTACATCTTATCCCTGCTTCTCTCTCCTGACTGAATCGGCAGGGGAGCGGCACAGAGTGCAGCCAGCAATTCCCAGCATGCAGAGACAGCTTACAGATCAGGTAAGTGAGGGATGGGGGGGCAGCCTACATATCAGGTAGGTGAGGCATGGGGGGCAGCCTACAGATTACGTAAGTGAGGGATGGGGGGCTGCGGGGGCAGCATACAGATTAGGTAAGTGAGGGATGGGTGGGGGGCAGCTTACAGATCAGGGATTGAGGGCAGCATACGACTCAGGTAAGTTAGGCATGGGGGGGCAGCCTGCAAATCAGGTTGTTATGATGGGGATGGAGATGGGGGTGGGGGACAGCCTACAGATTAGGTAAGTGAGGCATGGGGTGGCAGCCTACAGATCAGGTAAGGGAGGGATGGGGGGCAGCCTACAGATCAGGTAAGTGAGAGATGGGGGGCAGCTGACAGATTAGGTAAGTGAAGAATCGGGGGAAGCCTACAGATCAGGTAAGTGAGGCATGGAGGGTGGCATCAAGGAGCAGAAAAGGTCATCAATGAACTGGAAGGGACAGAAGGAGCAGAAAGGTAAAGTAGGAGAAGGAGCAGGAGGGGTAGAAATGAGCAGGAAGGGTCTGCAAGGAACAGAAAGAGTTCGAAAGGAGTAGAAAGGGTCTGCATGGAGAGGAAGGGTCTGCAAAGAGCAGAAAGAGTCAGGAAGGAACAGAAGAAGCACAAAGGTAAAGGAGCAGAAAGATTCAGAAGGAGCACAAAGGTAAAGTAGAAGGAGAAGCAGAAAGGACCTGGAAAGGGAAGCATGGAGTTGGAAGGGGCAGAAGGAGCAAAAAGGTAAAGTAGAAGGAGCAGAAATGAATAGAAATGAACAGGAAGGGGCAGCAAGGAGTAGAAATGAGCTGGAAGGGGTAGAAGGAGCACAAAGGTAAATTAGGAAAATGAGCACAAAGGAATTAAAATGAGCAGAAAGGGAATCCCTCCACCATTTTCTGGACACCACATCATAAGGCTTTGGAACCTGGGCCTGGCAGGGAAACTTTGGACCATCTCATCTTCCCAGGAAAAAAATAAAAATCTCAGTGTTAATGTGTCTTTTTTTTACTGAGTGTCAGGAAGCACAGAGTGCCGTTGGGTAGGGATGTCGCTGATTGGCGAGAGCGGTTAGTTGGCACTCTAAGCCAATCAGTAGCTCCCCATTCACAAAAAGTAAAACATTTTTATGAACCAGGAACCCCTACCAGTCCAGGATTTAGGGATCACTCTGTTGTGTCCAAGGTGTTTTTTTTATTTATTTTTTTCTAAAAACACCTTAGATACAACAGTTGTTATGGTGACCAGAATGTTCTTTTAATTTGATTAAAGGAACACTATAATGTCAGGAATACATAAATGTATTCATGACACCATAGATGTGAAAACTCTATTTACCCTGGCTCTATGTGATAATGACTATGCCCCTCCCCTTCATGACACTGTCAAAAAAGGGCCAAATATGGATGTCATTATAATTATGCCCCCCCACCCCCCAGGAAAAATTCCAGGGGATGCCCATGGCTACAGTGACTGCCGATGATCAAGAAAAGACAGAGCAGGATGTGTATGCTTCCACTGTTAGGCTACGCTACTGCTTTAAACAACAGTCATGCGGAGGGATCCATGGCATAGTTGACAGGGTCACAATTCCATGTGTAAATGACTAGTGAGTAAGTGGAAATTTTTAGACATATCCTGTAATCTGTCAGATTGTACCAATTGTCAGTACATGAAGAATAATTTCGACATGTGTGAGTATGAGGAAGTATTCCACCATATGGTTGCATATGACAAAGTATGTGTCGGGATGAGGAGTTTTTGCCATGTGGCAATACTTAGAAGCAGCATGGTTGCTACATGTGAAATGATTATATCATCACATGTCAAGTAAATAAATACTATGACATATGTCAGAGTATATCTGCTCTTCCACATGCTGGTGTCAGATGAAATTTGCCTACACACACTGACATGCGAGTGAAGTGTTTTGTAATGTGCAAGATACAAAATGCACAATAGATGAAAATGAACATAACCATTACATTGAACAGAATGCATAGGAACAGATATATTTTTACTAGAAAAATAAGGAGCACTTCAAGCACCATAACACCCCTTGTACACAATCATACCATTTCAGAATTTTTTGACTTCTTATCTGGGGTTTGGCAGGTACTGCTCTCTGCCTCCAATATTGCTCAGTGAGAGCCAGAAGCTTTGAGTTAATGCTCAAGTGATGTTCCTTAGCCAATGGATTATCCATAAACTTCAGGTCTTTGCTCTCACTGAACTGTAGAGGAGTCAGGGAGTGATAAGTGGCATACCCAGTGGTATACTAACGGGTGGCAGTCCGCCCCGGGTGCCACTCAATATGGGGGGGTGCCATGACCAGGGCCGGCCTTAGGATGTGTGAGCTGTGCAGCTGCACAGGGCGCCATTACAGCTGGGGCGCAGCTCACACACACAAGGGCAGGCAACTGCAGGTAAGAAAAGTGGGGGCGGAGCCA